GGGGGTGTGCAGGAGGCAGCTGATCGATGTTTCTAACTCTCTATCCCTCTCCCTTCTTTTCTGTAAAAAATCAATAAAAAATATTTTTTTTAAAAAAAAGACTGATAAGTTTATTTTGGGGACTCAATCCTACAAAGTTGAATGATGGCAAAGTAAAGATTTTAACAAATGTTTGAGAGAGCCACAGTATGTTTTTTAAACCATGTTAGTTTAAATACAAGACACCATAAAGCAGCGGTTCTCAACCTGTGGGTCGCGACCCCTTTGGGGGTCGAAGGACCCTTTCACAGGGGTCGCCTAAGACCATCGGAAAACACATATATAATTACATACTGTTTTTGTGATTAATCACTATGCTTTAATTATGTTCAATTTGTAACAATGAAAATACATCCTGCATATCAGATATTTACATTACGATTCATAATTAGGAAGGTTGAGAACCACTGCCATAAAGAATTACTTCAGCCCTAGCTGGTTTGGCTCAGTGGATAGAGCGTCAGCCTGCAGACTGGAGGGTCCCCGGGTTCAATTTCAGTCAAGGGCACATGCGGGCTCCATCCCCAGTAGGGGGTGTGCAGGAGGCAGTCAATCAATGATTCTCTCTCATCACTGATATTTCTATCTCTATCTCCCTCTCCCTTCCTCTCTGAAATCAATAAAAATACATTAAAAAAAAAATTACTTCAGCCCAGCCCATGTGGCTCATGGGTTGAGTATGAACCTATGAACCAGTAGGGCACAGTTTGATTGCAAACCGATCAGGGCACATGCCTGGGTTGCAGGCTCCATCCCTGGTAGGGGGCATGCAGGAGGCAGCTGATCAATGATTCCCTTTCATTGTTGATGTTTCTCTCTCTCTTCTTCCTCTCAGAAATCAATAAACATATATTTTTTAAAAAATAATCACTTCAGCCCTGACCGGTTTGGCTCAGTGGATAGAGCGTCGGCCTGCAGACTCAAGGGTCCCAGGTTCGATTCTGGTCAAGGGCATGTACCTTGGTTGCAGGCACATCCCCAGTAGCGGGTGTGCAGGAGGCAGCTGATCGATGTTTCTCTCTCATCGATGTCTCTAGCTCTCTTTCCTTCTCCCTTTCTCTCTGTAAAAAAATCAATAAAATATATTTTTTTAAAAAAATCACTTCAAATAGCTCAAAACTAATATTTTATAATACTTTATATCTGTTGTTAATGGGTTCAACTTAGAAATAAACCAACTACAACAGTTAATTTTTTTTAAAAAGGTAGTACTATCCTCTGTCCCCATTCCCCTTAATTGGTTGGGCAGGTCTTATGAGCCTGAGGAAGGACCCAAAATCCTCAACTTCTTCAAGACAGGTGGGAGATTGAGAACTTTTTAAATTATTTCTTTTTTAAAAATATATTTTTATGCCGAACCGGTTTGGCTCAGTGGATAGAGCGTCGGCCTGCGGACTGAAGGGTCCCAGGTTCGATTCCGGTCAAGGGCATGTACCTTGGTTGCGGGCACATCCCCGGTGGGGGGCGTGCAGGAGGCAGCTGATCGATGTTTCTCTCTCATCGATGTTTCTAACTCTCTATCCCTCTCCCTTCTTCTCTGTAAAAAATCAATAAAATATATATTAAATAAATAAATAAAATAAATTTTTATTGATTTCGGAGAGGAAGGGAGAGAGAGAAACATCAATGATGAGAGAGAATCATTGATTGGCTGCTTCCTGCACACCCCCTACTGGGGACCTAGCCTGAAACCCTGGCATGTGCCCCTGGCGGGAAGGAACCCAGGACTCTTCAGTCCATAGTCCGACTCTCTATCCACTGAGGCAAACCCGCTAGGGCTGAGAACTTTTATGTAAACTACTAGACAAACTTTTAAAAAGTTGATTAAAGAAAAACAATGGTATTTCTTTGTAAAAAGATATTTTGTTTGTCTATAGTAGTCTATTAAAAGCTGGTAATGCTTTATCTGAGGATTCATTTTCTACTCAGATATTTTAAGATTGACATTCCTGTCACATTATTTGGAATAGAGATTTCGAAAGAAAAAAACAGATTAAAACCTTCTACTGGATACCATTTTTTTCGGCTGGGAAATTTCTTCCAAAATTCCAATAAATACATTAAGGGGTTTTCAGTAACACATGCATACTTCTGGAGGCTTGTTCTCTGGACATCAACTGGCTGTGTGTATCCTTTCTATTTAGAAATCCAGCCCAATGTTACTTAATGTTATTATCTTATTCAGAAAACACTTGAAAGTGCATTACTTTTTATAGGAATAAAAATTGTTTCCCTTCAACTGCTTTCCATACATAACTTTCAGGGAGCAGTTAATACAAAAAAAAACCACAAAAAACAAAAAAAAAACCAGCAAAAAAACCCCCACAAAACCCACAAAAACGATAAGTAACCGGCAATTCTCACATCTGAAAACATAAAGCTTTTCCTGTAGAGAATGTTTAAGGTCTGGAAGTGGCAGCGCCAAGAAATCTTATTCAGTTAAAATCACCCATGCTCTCCCTTTATCGTAAGAAACCTAAAATTGCTAAAGAATCTATAGTTAAAACAAATTTAAACTCTTTAAGACAAGAAAGCAAATACATACCTATTTCATCTCTAAGTTAAGACGGGATAATGGAACCTCGCTTACAGTTAACACACAAACGGGACACGTGCAGAACTACCTACGCTATGGCAACTCCTCGCTGCCAGGGACACGGCTGAGCTTTGGCAACCTCCACTCCCTTCGAGAGATCGGAGTCAGGAGAGGCCCTGGGAAGACCCACGCTCGAGAAATCACGACATCCGAGAGGGAACTAAGTTGTGGTGACGGCGTGGCCTGCCTCCGGTTGCCTAGCAGTCCCTCCCCGTTCATGGAGGAGGCCCGCGTGGCGCTCCCCGGCCTCTGGCAGCGCCCACCACAGGTGCACTTGGCCCAGGGCCTGGGACAGGTCTCACCGAGCGGCAGAACCAGACTGCCCAAGGGCCGAGCGATCCCAGAGGGTCCACGCCTCCGGGGCGCCGCATGGCAAAAAACTCGCGGTATATTCAGGCCTAAGGCTAAGTTCGGGGAGTTGGGAATCACAGGGACTGCCAAGAGGAGAAAAGTGGGGTTTCCGGCGCGGGGAAGCTGAGGGACGGTTTAGAAGTGGGAGAAGCGGACATCTGGAGGAAAAATGTCCTCCATCCGCCAACGGTAACCGGAATAAAGACACGGGGCCTCCCACCCTCAGCCAAGAACCACTGCCACCATTGAGGGGAGAAAGCCGCGGGGCCGAAAGCGGGGGAGGGGAAGGGGCGGCTTCCCGGCAGCACCCAGCGCGGCCTCGGCATCCCGCCGGGGCGACCTTCCCTCGGCGGGGTGTCGCACTCACATCGTGAACGGGGCAGGGGGACGGGTGAATGGGTGGGTGGGCCTCTCCGGCGGCAGCTGCTGGGCAGTGGACTAAACTCCGGTGGCGACTCCGACGTTTTCTCCGCGGTGCGGCCTCTACTCGCTTCCCTCAGCGACGGCGGCAGCGGCGGGCTCGACCTGGTCCCCAGAATGCACCGCGCGGAGAGAGCGGCTCCTCCGGTCGGGGAGAGGAGGAAAGTGTAGGAAAAGGGGCGCGAGGATGGAGAACGAACGTGCGTGCGTGAGAGCGAGGGCTGGTGAGGCCGGGCGGCGGCTGGTGACGCAGCAAAATGCCCGGGCCCTGCCGCCGCGCCTGCGCACTCTTTGTTGTCGGGCTCCTGCGCGGCTTTCTAGAGATATCTACGGAAGGGGCGGGGCCTCCCAGCTCTTCGCGATTCTTCCCGGCGTTGGCCCCTCCCTCCGCCGGTCGCCGGGGACCCGACTCCTTCCCGCCTCTCCTCCCGCGTCCCCCACCCCGGGCCTTGGAAAACCGTTGGCCAGCTAACTGCCTCCCCGCGCGCTGTGGGCGATCTCCCCGGGAAACGGCTGCGGCGACGGCGGGAGGAAGGCTGAGGCGGAGGGACGCACGGAGTTGGGAGGCTTGAGAAATGAAATGGGGGCTTGATGACTCTGGAGGGCACAAACAAACCCCGGAGGAAAACATTCCACTCCCCCCCCCCCAAAAAAAAGATGTGAAAAAAAGATGTGAAAAGATGGTCTGTGCTGGTGATAGTTGCGGAAAAGGGTTAACTTGAGACTCGAGGGCCTGGCCCCGCTCGCCATTTTTCACAAGGTTGGAAAGAGGTCCAGGGGCAGCGGAAATGCCAGGTCTCTGGCTGAGGAGGAGCGCTGGCCGCTGGCGTCCGGCGGTCGCCTGGGCTTTGGGGCGTCAGTGCTGTGGGTGCGACGGGAAGGTCGTGTGAGTGGAGAGGAGGCTTGTGGGCACCGAGAGGCTGGACACGCGGACTCCAGGCACCTCAGCTGGGGGGAGGGGGCCCTATCTTTTCAGCCGATCTCCGGAAGCACCGCTTTGTGCAAGGCACTGGGTTAGGCTGCAATGAGGGGTAATAACCAAGGGGACGGAAAGGACACCTGCTGGCTCCGGAGGGCCACGCAGCAGTGGAGTCGGGGAGAAACACACCGACGCGGCGCCAGTTAGGACACAAAGGAGGCTTGGGAAAGTGTTGGGGCTTCATCTTCAGCGTGTTGGTGTCTGCTGGGCGAGGCAGGCACTGGGCACTACGGACATGGGACCTGTGCTCAAGTCCCGTTCAACAGGTGAAAGCTCAGCTCTCACAGGTTGACCCTAAGGAGCCTACTGCCCGTGGGGGAAAATCAAATACACAGATCAGGACAATGGAAGCACAAAAGGTCAAATGGGAGCATACAAGGAGGAGGGGTCGATATTGACCCTGAAGGATTAGGGCGGACCTTGTTAAGGAAAATGAACTGAAACGTGGAAATAAGTCAGGGAGCGGAGGGATGGTGGCCTTTCGGTTCCTACTTGGGACCCTTTTAAGCAGCCTGTGCCCAAGGATTGCTCTCCAGGAGGAGATAGCTGTGTGTGGCTCTGCTGTTTATTATATAATCGGAGTTCAAGCATTGTGAATTTACTTGTTATGGTGCGGGTTTGTGGCTGCTAGAAAAGCCAGCCTCAAAGTTAGTTTTGTTACTTTGTATGACAGGTTTGTTTAACCTACAACCTTATTGTAATTCTTTTTATGCCTATAAATATCTACTTCCTTAAATGCTCCTGGAACCAGCTCTACCATCTTGCTGGTTCTGTCAACCAGTTAAATGTTTGGCTCACAATTTTATATCTGTGGGAGAATCATGTTTAAAAATTTTTAAAAATTCTACTTGGATACCTCATAGAGGTGACAGCAGGAATGAGTGGGAGTAGTACATTCCAGGCAGGAATCTTGGTAGGTGAAGAGATAGCAACAGAAGTATGTTTAGGTAAGGAGTGGGCAAACTTTATGTAAAGGGGCAGATGAGGCCATAAGGTTCTCTTGCAAATTTAGAAATCCGCTTAGTATGAAATCAACCATAGAAAATATGTTTAAAAAAAATAGCTGTGCTTAAAAAAAACTCACTAAGAATGCTGAAATTTAAATTTATGTTCACATGTCACAAAATATTATTTTCAAACCTTTAAAAATACAAAAATTGGCAGCCTGCTGGATTTGATCTACAGGCTGTACAACCCCTGGCCTAGGTAGTCCAGAGCGCAAGGGAATAATTCAAAGTAAGGTTTTGAAAGTTGGTCACAACCAAATAATGGTGGCACTGAATATCAGGCTAATTGTTTTCAACTTATTGCTCTGACAATGGGAAACTATTGAAGGTTTTTTTAAGGGGAGAACACATGTATTCTAGAAAGATTAATCTGGTAACAGCATAGAAGATGAAGTGAAAATGGAGGAACTGAATTTATGATAGAATTTAGAAGACTGCAACTCTTAACAGTATCTTCCCTTATCAAAATAAGTGCTGTGGGAAAACTGCCTTTCACACAAGGAATTTTTGAAAATTCAGACTTATTGCATCCTAATTCATAGTTTATTACCCCTGTTGGACATATTTCAAGGGATTTCATGGTAGTGTAAATCTGGAAATGGCTTCTCACCAGAGATTCACAAATACTGTAATTTGTAATCAGGTTTACCCATGCCTTTGCATGTTATCTCAGCCATTAGCTGATGGGGACCAGTTGTACCAGGGTGTGTGTGTGTGTATTTTTTCAAATTCACTAACAAGTATGAGTAGGAGGCCAAGTCTAGATGCAAACATGTATAATTAGTGTCAGTCTTTTGGGAGAGAAATCTGCAACCTCAGTTGGCAGAAATTAGAAAATACTTGGCAAGTATTAGATGCCATTTCACAAGATTAATCCTAACAGTTTCTTAAGAGAAAAGAAATTCCCAGGGCAAATTTTAAAATTAATTAAAGGAATGCAGAAACAATTCATCAATTTTTAAAAAATATATATTTTATTGATTTTTTTACAGAGAGGAAGGGGAGGGATAGAGAGTTAGAAACATTGATGAGAAAGGAACATTGATCAGCTGCCTCCTGCAGACTCCCCACTGGGGATGTGCCTGCAACCAAGGTACATGCCCTTGACCGGAATCGAACCTGGGACCCTTGAGTCCACAGGCCGACGCTCTATCCGCTGAGCCAAACTGGTTAGGGCCAATTCATCAATTTTAATTGCGGCATTCATCATCTCTGATATTTTTCAGAGGACTGAATTTAAGTGTGTCCACAATCACTAATAGCAAAAAAGAACTTTATTGATTGACATGAACAATTTTTTAAAGTTGGGTTGTACAGAGGCACCTCATCAATGTTTCTCATCAATGTTTCTCTCCCTTTCCCTTCCTCTCTCTGAAATAAATAACATATTAAAAATTAACAGATGAGAACAGTCCAGTTTTATGAGTTTTCTAATAGATAAGAATTTAGGAGTTGTTAATTTTGTATTTGTAAGGCAAATAAAGGGAAAGAGGTGGTAAAGTAGTAATCAGTTCTAGGTATAGGGAATAAGAAATTGATCACAAAGTTTAAGGGAAATATCATGACCTACTTAAATATAAACATCACAGTCCAGGACAGGTAACTTGGTTGGTTGGAGAGCATCATCCATGGCACCAGGGTTGCAAGTTGCATTCAGGGTCAGGGCACATACAAGAATCAACCAATGAGTGCATTGATGGGTAGAACAATGGGTCAATGTCTCTCACTCACTCTCACTTTGGCTCTCGCTCGAACTCCCTCCTTCCCTCCCTCCCTCCCTTTCTCTAAAATTAATAAATAAAAATTTAAGAAAATAATCATCACATATAGCAACTTAAATTTGTTTTGTGGCCCTAACCAGTTTGGCTCAGTGGACAGAGCATCTGCCTGCGGACTGAAGGGTCCCAAGTTCGATTCTGGTCAAGGGCATATATCTTGGTTGTGGGCACATCCCCAATAGGGAGTGTGCAGGAGGCAGCTGATCGATGTTTCTAACTCTCTATTCCTCTCCCTTCCTCTCTGTGAAAAATCAATAAAATATATATTTTTTAAAAATTTGTTGTGTGATGTCATCATTATCTTCCCACAATTTGGAAGCATACTCTATCAGTCTGGTTTGCCAATAATGGAAAGGGTTAAAATTACTCTCGTGTTGAGCTTTTTCATAGTCTGGAATTTTGCTAGTAGTCTCTAACTGTGGACTGACAAAAGCATGAACAGCTCTGAGTGAATGAAGTGGCTTTTTTTTTTCTTAAAGTATTACAAAGAGTATTACACATGTCTCCTCCCCCCCCCTTGACATTCCCCCGGCCTCTCCTACCCCCCAGTGTCTTGTGTCCATTGGTTATTCTTACATGCATGCATATAAGTCCTTCGGTTGATCTCTTAATCCCCCCCCCCAACCCTCCCCAGGCTTCCCACTGTAGTTTGACAGTCTGTTCAATGTGCAAGCTCACCAGGGCCGTTGCAAGCTCACCAGGGCCGTTGCAAGCTCACCAGGGCCGTTGCAAGCTCACCAGGGCCGTTGCAAGCTCACCAGGGCCGTTGCAAGCTCACCAGGGCCGTCTCAACCTCACAGGGGCCATTTCAACCTCACTGGTGCCGTCTCGACCTCACCGGGGCCGATTCAACCTCACCGGGGCCATCTCAGCCTCACCGGGGCCGTCCCAGCCTCACCGGGCTGTCTCAGCCTCACAGGGGCCGTCTGAACCTCACAGGGGCCGTTTCAACCTCACCGGGGCCGTTGCAGCCCCACCGGGGCCATCTCGACCTCACCTGGGCCGTCTAGACCTCACCAGTGCCGTCTCAATCTCACCGGGGCCGATTCAACCTCACCGAGGCCGTCTCAACCTCACTGGGGCCGTCCCAGCCTCACTGGGGTCGTCTCAGCCTCACATGGGCCGTCTCAACCTCACAGGGGCCATCTCAACCTCACATGGGCCTTCTCAACCTCACCAGGGCCGTCTCAGCCTCACCGGGGCCATCTCAACCTCACTGGGGCCGATTCAACCTCACCGGGGCCATCTTCTCAGCCTCGGGGCCGTCCTAGCCCCACCGGGGCCGTCCCAGCCCCACAGGGACCGTCCCAACCTCACGTGGGCCATCTCAACCTCACGTGGGCCGTTTCAGCCTCACCAGGGCTGGGCCGTCACTACCTCACCGGGGCCCTCGCAACCTCACCGGGGTCGTTTCAACCTCACTGGGGCCGATTCAACCTCACTGGGGCCGTCTCAACCTTACATGGGCCATTTCAACCTCACCAGGGCCGTCTCAGCCTCACCGGGGCCATCTCAACCTCACCAGGGCCAATTCAACCTCACCGGGGCCGCTTCAACCTCACTGGGGCCGTCTTGATCTCATGG